CAACCCCGCCCATAGGCCATGCTGACTGGGACTGATGGGAGCTGAAATCCAACAACATCTGGAGAGCACTGCATTGGCTAGCTTTGCCCTAGGAGCATCACACATTTTGCTCATTGTCCTGCCTTGCATTCTTGGCCAAAGCTGAAGAGCTCAGCTATGGCAGCAGATGGAGAGGAGAGGATGGGGCTTCAGATAAGATGGCTTGATGAAGAACACACATTTAAGAAGTTCATTTACTCTAACCTTCCCCAAAGTGATGCCCTCCAAATCTTTTGGACTACAACTCCCATCAGCCCCAGTCAGTTTACAAAGAAAATTTGACATTCCATGAAGTGAGTGGTTTTGAACTCTTCTCCCTGAGATACTTTTGGTCTACAGTTTTTTAAATGAGGGCAGAAGTTCACGATGTGACCTTCCACTTGCAGAAATAAAGATACCCAGAGAACAACTCCCAGGCAACCCATCACTGCTGTCTCCAGCAGGGACAAGATGATGCAAAGATGACTTTTTAACACCCCTTCTTTTTTCTGTTTCAGATGCTCTGCACCAGGCCACCTCAGTCTGGTGCCCTCCAGATGCAGTTGAACCAAAAGTCCTGCCATCCCTGACCACTGGTGGTGTTGGCCATTGCAGAATGGAGTTGTAATCCAAAACATCTACTGAGCACCTGGTTGGGGAAAGCTCTGGTTGGTCCACTCAGCTGCAAACCTTTTGAAGCCACGCTGTTCTGCTTAAAATATCCTTGGATGCATACATGTTCCTAAACTGAATGGTTGGGACTGTAAATCACCCAGTGTCCTCATTTCAAACAAGGCTATTCAGAGTTCCAGCAAGGCCGGCTGGAAGTAAATATTCATTAGGTGTAGGCCATCCTTTGCCCCATTGTCTCCCACAGGAAATTGAATAATCTCTCTTCTCGGTGGCTATATTTCTTCAGACACCCTGGGGAAATAACATTTCTTTGAAACACATCCAAAGATACGTCTCGTGAGGCACCGTTCGATGGATCTGCTTATGCCTGAAAGATATCCTGACACAATGGGGTTGGATCCATGCAGGGCTATGTTAGCATAACGTTCCTGTTCTCAGGTGTTTGCTTTTCATTAAAACCCACCCTCCTCCTCCTTCCTCTTCCCTTGAGATCTGTCGCCTAGGAATCCATCCATCACCATTATTGACCTGGATCAAGCCAGAAAGGCAAGCTCTACAGCTGACTTCAAAATCGGATCAAACTTTTAAGGAAACACTCGCCTAATATGATTCACATAGCTTTTCCCTATTCACAGTGCTCTTCCTGTATTTAAGGATACTCTGGGTGGGATTCGACGTAAAGTTAAGTGGGCTATGCATGTGTAGAACGAGGTTCGCTTATGCAACATGGCATTTTCCCTCTCCCCTCCTCCTGTATACCTCCTAAACTTTTGGGCTTTCCCTCAAACCTCCAGAGCAGATTTAGGGGGCACGGGGTGGGGGGTGACATAACAAAAAATTCCATTCAGACTTTGCTCCACTCATGAAACAACTTTGTTGTATCCCACCCAAATGGTCACTATTTAGGGGTGGGATTCAATCACCTATCAGCAATCTCAGGTTGCACAATTGCAGTTGACTTCTAGCTTTTGGGCAAGGAACCCACTTTCCCCTCTCCCCCAGACGTCGATAAGAAAAGTGATAGAGAAATGCACTGGGAAGTGTAGGGTATCTTTTGCTCAATGCGAGATTGTCTAACCTCCCCACAAACATCAGAACAAATCGGAACATTTTGTAAGCAAATCATGACCAGATGCTCAGGAAACAGATCATCTGGAAGCAGCCTTATTACCCTGATAATTGTATTGTTTTATTCTTTTTGTACACCACTTTGAGGTCTTCTACAATCAGGCGGTGCATGCATTTTATGAAATGAATAAATAAAATAAGTAAGATTCTCTCCCACTTTGGTTCCAGGCATAATGCAAAGTGCTGCTTCTGATCTTTAAAAAGACCTAAACAGGCTGGAACCAGAGCCACTGAAGGTTCTCTTGCTCCTGTGTAAACTGAGATGATCATCTGACACACCACTTCAGGCACCATCACCTGCAGAGGTAAAATGCATGACTACTGGAGAGAGGACTTTTTCTGTGATCCTAGGAAAAGCCTGTCCTGTTTTCTTGAAATTTCAGTGGGGAAGTTGATTTGTTTGGTTAGTTCATCTGCCGCTGACTTTTCAACTGCTGCTCTTAATGTCATTGTTGATGGGCATGTCTTCCAGTTCTATTCATATAGTTTTAATGTTTTTTTCAATGAAATTTTGCTAAGCCATCTTGAACTGCAACTATGGTTGAAAGGCAGTGCCTGGTTTATTATAATAAATCAATGCAGAAAAGGAAAATTGTAATAATGAAGGAAGATTTGGTATCTGAGGGGGACAAATATTTGATACATACACAAGCTAATTTTGCCCTAGCAACTAGGAAGCCCAAAGAATTGGGCATAAATTTGCCTTGCAAAATGGTGTACATTGTGCTGGGGACGCTCTATGGAGAAAGCAGATAGATACTAGTTTTTCTCCCTCTCAGGGACTCTAATTGAAGTGAACATTGGAAGATTCGGGACAGAGAAAAGAAAGGACTTCACACAGCACGCAGTTAGACCATGGAATTCTACCAGGGGCAATCATGGCCACCAACTTGGATGGCCTTAAAATAGGATTGGACAAATTCATGGAGGAGAAGCTACCAGTGGCTGCTGGCCATGATACATATACAATACATTTGTGAATACCAGTTGCTGGAAACAGCAGGTTGAGATGGTGCTATTGCACACAGGTCCAGCTTGCTGGCTTCCTAGATCAGGCAACTGGTTGACCTCTGTGAGAACAGGCTGCTGGACTACATGGGCTTAATCTTTGGTAAACCGTCAGACCACTATCTCCTCCTTGTGTTTCTCCTGCACCGTATTCAAAATGTTATCTCTCTGTACCTGCAACATTTTTCCTCCAGAAAACACACTGTACTACCACTTGTACTAAAACCACAACATTGCAAATAGGTGGGGCAGGAGGCAGTGACAGGCAGAGCTAACTCATTCTGGTTTTGCCCCCATCTTCATCTCGCTTGCCTAGTTCTGCAAGGCTGAAGAGGAAGCTGGCTGGCAGGCAAAGCTACTCCTGAACGGGGTGAAAATAAGTAAGAAGGCAGGCAGGTGGCTGCTGGCTGAGTGCAGACTGAGGTTGGTGGAGAAGCACCTCACCCACCTAATGGAGCAGCCTCCACTGGCTATGGCATCATGGCCTCTCTTGTGCAAGCATTTGTGGAACAGTACCAGCAGCAATTTCCCTTCCACTCCTGGATCCAGCATGTTCTACTAAAAAAATATATGTGCATCCCTATCTCTTGTCACACACAGAGAGACATTTGGCTTCTGTCCTTGCCATTGTCAATTATTTCTACCCACTTATCACTCCTTCGAGGTGCAAAGCCACTTCTGGGCCTGCCCCAAGAGGTGGGGTTGCGGGCTTCACGCCCACCCCCCACGTGAGCGGGGGCTGGTTTCAGCCCCCGCGAGAGCAGAGGAATCCCGGCCGTGTCTGCCCTATTTAGGGCCGGTGCAGAGGGGGCTCGCCCTCTTTTCGCCGGCTAGCCCCACGGTCCCTGCTCCTGCCAACCTAGCAGTTCGAAAGCACGTCAGAGTGCAAGTAGATAAATAGGTACTGCTCTGGTGGGAAGGTAAACAGCGTTTCCGTGTGCTGCTCTGGTTCACCAGAAGAGACTGAGTCATGCTGGGCACATGACCTGGAAGCTGTACGCCGGCTCCCTCGGCCAATAAAGCGAGATGAGCGCCGCAACCCCAGAGTCGGCCACGACTGGACCTAATGGTCAGGGGTCCCTTTACCTTTACCTAGTGATGTCTGAATGAGACCAAATGGGTGGCAGGGAACTCCAGGCAGCTCCAGCTTCTAAGCTTTTGAACTCTGCTATTCAGATACAAATTATGAGCCAACCAAGTTTTATTTTTAAAACCTATCAGAGAACAAGGAAGCATGAACCACTAAACAGCAGATAATAATTTTGGACCTTGGTAGGTGGTGCATAGGGAATGTAGAAAGCTGCAATCCACAGAGAGAGTGGTTATTTGTCCACCTTCCTCACTCCTGCCTACTCTGATGGGCAGTAGCTCTTAGGGGCCTCTGGCTGGGAGAGGTCTTTCCCATCAATTGCTACTTGATCCTGTTGAGCTGGAGATACCAGGGGTTGAAGCTGAGACCTTCTACATGCAGAGCACCACGGCACAAAGGTCCCTCCCCAGAATACGTGAGAGGGGGAAAAATCAACTGATCACAGAGTGCCCAGTTATACCAAATTGCAAAGAGCAATTCACAGCCCCCCAAAATAGGAATTCACAACAAACGCAACACCAAAACTCAGAAAAAGTCAGAGGCAAACCCCAAAGACTGGCCTAAATGGACCTGTTCAACAACACATTGTGGCATGAAGCAATCATAGCCAAAAAGCAGAGGCACATGGACAAAATACAGACACAAAAAACATGTTGTATCCACACACACACACCCCGGAAAAAGGTGTGCACCAACGCCCTTCCCAGGACACTCCAAACACCACCAATATCCCCCCAAATAGCCATCAGAGTGGAATGGCTAATTTGCTAGTGTAATTTATATGAACGGGAGCTGGCATAACGATTCTGCTTTTCTGCATGCATCTGTACGGTTTTCATGGGTCTTCTTGCTTGTACATGATCCAATTCTGCTTATTGCACACGACAAAGGTGTTTCTTAGTATCCAAGAGGGTGTACACACCTTACATTTAAAGCACAATTAAAGCACATGACTTCCCTCAAAGAATCCTGGGAACTGTAGTTGACCCATCACAGAACAATTCCCAGCACCCTTAACTAACTCGCTCAAATGCTCCTTCGCTTGTAGGGTAAAGCTGGGTGTTTGAACACACACACACACACACACACACACTGCAACTGTCGACAAGGCAGAGTAGCTTACCTTCTCCTGATACTGCCGACGCGAGGAGTCCAAAGACTGGATGAGGGCTGTGGCGTGGCCGATGAACATGGCATAGCAGGTGGCCCCGACAATCATGCTCAGCATAGTGAGCCATACGTCGGACATGCCCACTGGGGCTTGCTGCCCATAGCCGATACACAGCATGTGGCTCATAGCCTTGAACAGCGCATAGGAATATTGCTTCCCCCAGGAGTCATTCTAAAGAGACAGACAGACAAGAGTTACAAGACACGAGGAGGACAAAGCCTGCGAGGACTTTGCAAAACAGATCTGCACATACAGTCGAACACTGGATCCCAAACACCTTGCGAGTCGAACGTTTTGGCTCCCAAACGCCGCAAACCCAGAAGTGAGTGTTCTGGTTTGCGAACGTTCTTTGGAACCCAAATGTCCGATGCGGCTTCTGATTGGCTGCAGGAGCTTCCTGCAGCCAATTGGAAGCTGTGCCTTGGTTTCCGAATGTTTTGGAAGTTGAATGGACTTCTGGAACAGATTCTGTTCGACATCACATGCCAGCCCTGTGGTGATGCTATTATTATTATTATTATTATTATTATTATTATTATTATTTATTTGATTTTGCTCAGCACACATGGCAGCACAGGTCTAGGCATGCCACTGGTAGCAAAATGCTCACCATTCCCTTTGGTGCTTGAAAGGACTTTACTGGAAATTGGCAAAGGGCACCTTTGGGCAACTGCCAGGGCCCCTGCACCTGGCAGAGTCCTGGCCTGGCGCTCCAAGCAGTGAGAGGTGGCTGGACCTGTCCACCCCTTTAATTTCCCCACAGTGCTCCTGACCTAGAATTGCTTTGGGGCATTGTGTGAAAATAAAAGAGTGGGCAGACCCCGTCAAGCAGCGCTGCTTGGAATTCTGCCTGTGCAGGCAAGTGAGCTCTCCAGGGTCCAGAGAGAGAGGACCTGCTCAAATCAGGAACTGGTCATGAAGAAAACCCCCCTTGGGAAACAGAGCAGTATTTGGAGATGAGGAGCACCTTTTGCATCCTAAAAAGGGCAGGCTTTTACACAGAAGATAGGCACAAACAAATATTCCCCCACAGACAATTATGCAGACATATATGCACACAGATGATCCAATGACATGCAGCTTGACCATGTGCTAGGAATCTTTTGCACCCTGTTTTGTACCTCCCGTGCAGATGTTACACCATAGATTGCAAAATCCATTTCACGCTATTTTACAACATCTATTGCACACTATTCTGAACCATCTGTTTGCAAAATCCATTTCACGCCGTTTTACGCAGCCTATTGCAAAATCTATTGCACTCTGTCAACATGCCTTTCCAAAACAGGTAGGTGCCTCTTCCAGAAGACGTCCCTGCATTAAATGGTGTTGCCTTCATTCAAACAGCCTCATGAAAACATGAGAACACCTTCTCATTCAGCAAAGGGCATTTGCTAAACTTCCAGCACTTTCTAACAGTATCATCTGCACCCCCTCACATCTCATGATGGGGTATTTTCCCTGAAACCCATAAAATGTAGACTTTTTAAACCTTCCCATGTGTTAACCCCCTTTCCCACCCCACATAATGAGAACGACGAAAGGGTGTGGTCGTTGATTATGCTGGTCTCCCTGTTCTGCTTTTGTATTCCTAATTAATTCACCTGATAAAATAATGATAAATGAATCAATCTTCCCTTCTGAAACACGGAATGGCACCCCTGATACAGAGATAATTATGCAGCAGATAAAATGTGGTAATCACACCAGAGCTTGAAACCCGGCCAACTAGGGGTTCTTAAAACAATCAGTTGCTGGCTTTTGCAACTAGCAATACTTACTTTTAACAGTACATTGCAATCACCAGCCCACCTTTAAAATGCTCCTTGAATGAGCACAATTCCTAGGAGTGTGCCGAATATTCTCAAATTTCAATTGCAGGGTCAGAAACAGAAATTTTGGCAGGATAAAGATTGTCTCCCCAGAAACACTTATTTTATTTATTTTATTTAATCCGTTTGCCGCTATTGTTCCATTTGTGTACAATAGTTTCGGCATTATCACCCCCCAACCCCCCCCCCCCGCTACTTCTTCATTCTGGTTTAGTCAGTCACATTGGTGAGCATCCGGTCATTGATTATGTAGCAAAAAGATATGTTCTGTATTCAAATCCAGCCATGTAACAACATCACTGGGGGCAACTAAGAGTGAAGACAGGGCTTCCCGGAGGAATCACATGGATCATAGGAGTCAACTCCTAGGGGTCGAGGTCCCTTTGTCCCCCCATAAAATATTTAAGGGGGCCGGGACTTCCCAAAGTTAATGGGCACTATGTTTACTACCCCTAGCCGATGGGGAAATGAACCTGCAGGACCTATAAATTCATGAGGGATAAGACTGTCAGTGACTATTAATCCTGATGGCAAAGCTTCTGAAAACCATTTGCTGGAAGCGGCAGAAGGGCACCGTGCTGCTGTGCTCAGGTCAAGCTTGCGTGATTCCATGGGAATTTGGTTGGCCCCTGTGAGAACAGGATGCTGGAGTTGATGGCCCACTGGCCTGATCCTGCAAGCCTCTTCAGATGTTCTCATGACCTGTTAAGCCCAACTGAAGACTTGAGGCCCTTTTCTCACACTGCAGATCTCAGCATTGTGGGAAGTGCTCCTGTGCCATGTAGTGTAGTAGTAGTAGTAGTAATAATAATAATATTAATATTAATATTAATAATAATAATAATAATAATTTAAAAAAAATTATACCCCACCGTCCCCCAGCCCAGAGCCGGGCTCAGGGTGGCTAACACCAGTAAAATTACAGTAAAAACAAAATGGGGGGGATTTAAAATACAGGTAAAAATGCAATTTAAAATGCAGCCTCATTTTAAAAGTAGCCCATAGATCAAAAGCATAAGGGGAGGGAAACATAAGGGTCAGACTGAGTCCAAACCCAAGCGGAACAGCTCTGTCTTGCAGGCCCTGCAGAAAGATGTCAAGTCCCGCAGGGCCCTAGTCTCTTGTGACAGAGCGTTCCACCAAGTCGGGGCCAGTACTAAAAAGGCCCTGGCCCTAGCTGAGACCAATCTAACCACCTTGTGGCTTGGGACCTCCAAAATGTTGTCATTTGTGGACCTTAAGGTCCTCCGTAGGGCATACCGGGAGAGGCGGTCCCGTAGGTACGTGGGTCCTAAGAATTTGCTTCTCAAATCAAAACGGAGCAGGATGGAATGGCAGGATCCACTGCTCTGTGCCCCCTGAGGCCTCCTCTTTCACTCTGGCATCAGTGGAAAGTTACTGAGATGTCATCCCAGCCATTGGCCGTGCCATCGTGTCACCTTGCAACATCAGTCAGGTTCAAGCAAGGTTTGGTCCCTTGGAGAATGGCAAGTGCCATTCAGGCAGGACAGCAAACAGATCAAGTGCTGGTGTTGAGTTACCCTGTGAACAGCCTGTTCTGATAGGCACCCTTGTTCCAAATCGTTGAATGGGCAACCCAACAAAAGGGCCACACACACACAAACTTGAGAGCTTCACAAAGAGACACCTGTCCTTTGGCGCCAACCTGTCTAGGCTAAGTTTGCTAACAATGGGGATGGCATAGGGGAGAAATCTAGGCTTGCTCTCCAATGCCACTGGGATCCTTTGGTTACCACCTCTGAGGCCCTTATCAGTTCCCATCTCCAAGTGTCCTACTAAAGAGAAAAGGGCTGGAATGGGGCCATCTTTAGACCAGACCATCCCATTGCACAGCTAAGGGCAGTTAAGATTCTGGTGGGGTCTGAAAGGCACTACCTGCTGGTGCCTTCGGGCAGAGAAGGGCTGCTCTCCCCAGGCCACCCACCAGCAGCAAAGGAGAAATCCAGTAAGAATGAGCGTGTTTGAAAAGAAAGGCACCAAGACTTAAACGTGTGAGGAAGTTGAGTCAGGTTCTCGGACCTCTTTGCTTGCATCCCCTAAGCACAGACATGTGAAACAGAGATGGAAAACCCTTTCAACTTTGGGGACTGCCTTCCCTCCTGGCCAACCTTCCAGGGGTCACATGACAGCTGTGGTCACAGCCAGAAGCAAATGTGGGCGGAGCAACGAAAGTCATTTGTACCACTGTGCACCAGGCTAGTTTCCACACACACTTGTAGGCAACTCTCTTTTCTCCACCCAGTCAACCAAAAGAAATTATCAGAATTCATCCAGATTAAAAAACCTCAAGGAGGGTGTGTAGACCGTGTGGCTGAGGAGAAGGTGTGAACTGATCCTGAGGGCCACACTGAGAGGCTTAGAGGGCCACATTTGAGAGCTGGGACTGAGGTTTCCCACTCCTGACGTAGATGACTCAGAGTCACCCATCAGACGGCTGTTCAGAGGCGATCTCTTCTTCAGCCATGGCTGCATGCAACTGCATTCTTGAAAAGGACGGGCTGTATCCTTATGTGACCCAGCCTCACTGGATTTTATTTGTGCATCTGTTTATTTCTATTACACTCTTAATCCGGCCTATCCTCCATTGAACTGAAGGCAGCACACATGGTATCCCCATTTTAACCTCACAATGAGCCTCTCAGGCACTGAGAAATAGCAACAGGTCCAAGGTCACCCCGTACGACCTGTTTATCGAGCGTTCATTCCAATTTGCTTGCAGGGAGGTTAGATGACCTTGCATTAAAACAAGTGCTATCCCACACTTCCCAGCTGATTTTACCCACCTCTTTCCCCATCGTGAGAAGTCTGATCTATTGGGGGAGCAGGTTTGTTGCACAAGACCTCCCCAGTCAATGTTACCGGTAATTGTGCAACCTGGATTTGCCAGCATGCGATCGAAACCCACCGGAAAACAGTGACAGTCCAGAAGGCCCTCAGCAAAGCTTTGTCTGTGAGCAGACATTTCAATTCAGGTCTCCCTGGTCTAAGAGCGGCACTCCTGCCACAGCACCAGCGCTGCATGCAAAGGTGGCAAAATGCTTCTGTTTTGTGTGCATCGTCCACAATGTGGATGTGGAGCGCTGATGGCACTTCAAAAATAGATCCCTATTTTAATGAACAGATTGTTCCTGCAGCATTATGACACATCTGTACTGCTGCTTTTATGTAGGAGAGGTGGCGGGTGAGTTCTGGCTTGGCGCCAGGGCAATGATTCCCAAGGGGAACCTTCCCTTCCTGTTAGGAGGTAAGAAGGAGACTCAAAGCTGCATTTCCCAGGGCAATTGCTTGGCACTGGGCACTGCTGCTCAGAGGAGCTAG